TGAAAGACTTGATGGAATTGAAAGGCAGACAGGCGGACCGAGAATGGAAAAGTTTGGACAAACTTTTAGCTCAGCGTGCGCAAAGCGACCAGGATGCAGGACGATTGACGCAAATCGCACGCCGATGCCATTACGCCAAATTCAATTTTAATACTTTCGGTACTTTTTGGTACTGAAGTTTTAATGGCGCTTTATGAATTGCACATTAAAGGTATATTCGATCTTCATTTGGTTTCGATTGATTGATTGTCAAAATTTTACAAATAAACCAGTCTAATCAATGTAGTGAAAATTGAAAAACATTGTTATCGATTGATAATAATTAGGTTATTTACTTCAGTAGATAAAGTCAACCGAAACTAGTCGGAAATTGGTTTCCACCGGGTGTTTTCCGAACTCAATGTTTACGTGCTTCATGATAAACATATTGGTCAATCTCTAGCTCGCTTTGTGCGACAATGATGATGCTGTGATGTTGCGATGCTTTGATGCTCGAATGCTCTGGCAAAGACTATAAAAGAATTTCGGGCGGAAACAAGGCTCGTTCGGGAAATCCGCCCAAACGTCGAGCTTTCCGCCTGATAAATTCCGATGACCGGCGTCCTTTTATTATTACCCTTTCGCTTGGAAAATATTTTATTATTAACCTCGTTTTTCTACTGAAAGCGCAGAAAAACACTCGTAGTGACACAAAGTCCTGACAGTCGGCGTCTTATCATCATCAACTTGCTCTGGCAGGAGAAAAATGAAAATGAAAACTCAACCGGAATAACGAAATTATACTAGTGTAATCTAGACAACAGACAGTGGACAGTGGACGGAAAACCAGCACAACCACAAACCACAACAAAAGTCTTTATTCCACATTAGTAGTTGTAATAAAAAAAGATTGAAACAAATGAGAATGGTCATTTATACTTGGACGTGTTTTAATCGAATATACAGACCCAGATTTAGTTCGCAGTATATTTGTTGTAAACAAAAATAAAGATTAAAGTGTCTTTAAGCCAACTCTGATGCAATGCATGTGTGCGTTGGTGAAACGCAATAAAAGTAAACGTTTTGCATATAGTTTTAATCAAACAAACTCGGTCGTATCGCTTCGTTCAACGCCACAACATACAAATCGCTTGTTTTGCCTCTGGGTTTCATTACAATTTCAACTGCAAGTTTATTGCTTCATGCCACAAATTTCTCCAACTCTGCATCCGACAAAAAATCGATGTTAACCTACGCTCAAAAAACAATAAAACTGTCTTTTTAATTATATTATTTTACTGCTTTTCACATTTTCATCAATTCTACATTTAAAAATGTAAGGGCTCAGATTTAATTGACCGTATCTTTCGTCATGTTGCATATCTTGCCTAACTGAAGTAAGCCTGTGCAAATTGAAATTAATAAAGTAAACGCAAATAAAATTGTTTGCGACGTCGTCGGCAACGACGTTGTTATTATTATTCCGAGTCGAGTTAATAAAACGTTCAACGCTGTAACGTTGTTAAAAGTAATTTATATCGTCTAAATAAGCATCGCGTGGGATGAGATCTCAGAGGGAATGAGAAATTTGAAGGAGTCAAAGAGGCATACTTAATATTAACGTTGGAAGACGCCTAACTGGTGCAGAAAAGCGTCTAGGCTTCCGCTACTTTCTTCGGGGGTTCGCCTTCGACCCGCCGACGTCGGAGAGACATGTTCCCGTGTCCCCAAAAACTTTGCCCGAAAAGGCGCTTACTAAGAAATTCTATTATCGCACATCGCGCGTTTGCTACTTTTGATTTTCGCCTCCTCCTCTCACTTTCCGTCTTCTTCCTGCTGATCCGTTGAGTTGGCGTACGGGTAAAAAGTTGAAGGTGGATTTTCATCTTTTAAAGTCTCCCACCCGGCGTGCCTAAATAGAGCGAAAGTTTTCTGCAACATTCAGCGCGCTTTGTGTCGCGGCGCGCCTCGATACCGCGATAAGCAGAGGCGCGAGCGTTATGAACTGCAAATTAGTTCGTAGTTAATTTATGAAAACGCAATGACTCGGTATGGGACGTCGTTAATCAAGATGATGAAGAGAATTCTCTGCCGGGCTTGCCGCAATGTGCAAAAAGTGGAGTGCAGATTAAAATTTGCACCCGAATCAGAAAAGCGAATCAAGCGCAAGCGGCATAAAAGAGAAAAACGGGAAAACAGCGCCGCTGCGAAAGACGCGATCTTATCGGTGGCGGGTCGGCGACGCGCACAAAAACCTCAAACACAATACGCGCGCTTATCGCGAAACTTTAATTAATTATAATTAAATTACCCTCGTGTATTTTCTGCTTAGACCCGCACCGATTTCATGGAATAACTTTAGAACTTTATGAAATTTCTGCCGGAGCTAAAACAGACGGACATAAAAACTTAGTAATAAACAGATGATAAATATTAATTTGGAGTTTATGAAAACTTTTTTCGCCAACTTGCAAAAAAATGAAGTTGGTTCTTTTATCCTGGCATCCAAATATTAATTTTGATTGCTTGTTAATATTTTAAACAAAAGTTTCACTCCCTAGTACAACATATTCTTCGAAATATTATATCAATCTTGATTCTGCATACATCTCAAACAAAAAACAACTAAATATATTATGTAGATGTCAGCAAAGTGCCTACTTTTTATTTTGTAAAGAGAACACACATCCCACTTGCAGCAGTATGATGCCAATGTCATAATATAAGCACCCGGAATATTTTTCAGTTTTCCGCTTTCCGAAAGCGGAATGCCAGCGAGCGTTCGGATTCCAGCAGCGGCGCTGCGCCCATCAAATATAAATCACTTGATGTATCCGACTGAAGGAAAATTTACTTATTTATGTGCAGTGCGCGCTCGCATCCGAGTTCTTGTCGTTGTGCAAAGTGTGCTCCAATCTGCTGTCTGAAGATGCAAACAGCAACAAATAACAGACAACGTTTTACGTTTTCCAACTGCAAAACTAAAAAATGATGATTTTATCAATTATTCATATAAAGGAATTTACAAATTTTATGATTGTACACATGTTAATATTAATAATGAATAACTAGCGAGATTTACATTGTTGTAAATAATATGTTAGTTGGAATTTACTAGTGTATAAATAAAAATTGCATGTTGCCTAACAAAAATGTAAAAATGCAGAAAATATCATAATATTTACTAATTCAGAGATTATTTTATTCATTTTCATATGAATTATTGAATAATCGACGTAATAAATTTATTATTAAGAAGTTATACCATAATTAGGATTATAGCTTATGCCAATACTTGTTTTAACATAAAAACCAACCAAAAATTTCAAGTAGTTAAATATTCATTTCGACAACTTTTTTTTTAATGGTACCATCTATGACATTTGTAGACAAATTTGCATTCAAAATCCAAGGCGTAAATGTCTGATAACATTGAATCAATTGAATGCAATGAACTCTAAACCATATCGGCGAAGTCGGTGATAAACAGCGATAGTATGAATGTACATTATGCGCGAAAAGACCAAAAGATCAAAAATAGAAAACAACAAATACAGTTTATTTGTATTGTTACATTCATTTCAATGTTAGTTAAATTTTAATCATAAATCGTGTCTTATCAAGTAAACCTAACAATCACACATACTAGGATCGTAATAGTAAAATTTCTACTATTAATTTGTATTTCGTATTGACAATTTTGGAACATTTCCAACGGTTGTAAAATCTGCCAGAAGAAAAAACTACTTTCTATAGTTTGTACCTAGTTTATGATAATTTTTATACAAAATAGTGTCGCAAATTATTTGCAATTTACGACGTAGACTGTTGCACGATGTGTCGCAAGTGCGCAGCTTGGAATCCGTCTCGCATCGTCGATAAATTATGTTTGACGATGGCAGCTGACTAAGCGGTTTTACGGGCGCCCTGTCAATCTTCTTAGAGGTCCCGCGTTAGGATGCACGTCCGAAGGATCGGACCGCGCAGCGACGTCTGGGCTAAAAACCCGCCCCGGTTTATGTTCGATCAATCATTGCCCGCACTAATCACGAGACTGATCTAAGTCCTACTCAACGTTATCCCTGCCTGCAGCGGCGATATTTCTGCAAGCCGCTGCAGCATCCAGCATTTAGCTATTTACTTGCTTAGTTCGTTTTTTCCCCTCATCCTCCTCTGCTTTCTGCCCGCTTCACTTTCAGCTAATGATTCTCAATGATCTCCCCTGAAAGGAAGGAATTAGCTCATTTGACGAAAAACATAAATAAACATAAGCGGATTAATTTTCTTCATCAGGACTAGCGACCAGAAAGATGCAGCAGGAAAGTCATGTTTTTCCTCAAAGTTTATTTAGTCACATTGTTTATTTATGTACTAGCTTATTTCCAGAAATAAATTAACGGTGATTGAACTTATCAATGCAACTTCTGCAACGGGTTTTAAATAAAAACCTGTCAGTTTAGTAAACTTAAATTGAATAGGGTTGAGAACATTTATTTATTTAACCTTTGGTTATCAACGAAAGTAAATTTTTGAGTCATTCATTTTCTTCATGCAATATTTACCGAATATTTGAAGTATTTAAACATTCGGGGATAATTTATTTATGGTGCATCGTGGTAATAATTTTTAAAAGCAAAATGAATGATTATGTTAATTTAATAAAAACCAAAACAAAAATGAAGATGCAACAAAGGCTGAAAAAACATTTTGATAACTTGAAGGTTGATTCTGTGATATTATATCGCTAATACCAACCATATTGAGAAAATTTTCTTTGAATTGGTACATGCTCTGACATCTGTGAACAAATGCTGATACTAAATCCTAAACACTAAAGTCTGATAACATTGAATATTTGGAACTCCAAGTCATATCAGGCATGTGGGTGATAACTAGCGCCCGCTATTTACGTAGAAAGCAAATTTAATATTGATAAAATGTCAACTCTAGGCGCGAGATTACAAACTAGTAAACAAATGAAGTCAATTTGTGTTATTAAAATCAATACAAAGTCAAATTTCATTTTACAGTAACAAAAAAAAAAAACGCCCACTAAAATATTATTGGCAAATTAGTTATCAATTATGTCTTATCAAATAAAACTAGCAACCAAACATACATTGGCTATTTACTGAGTACAAAGCCACATGTGCTCCATGAACATTAAGTCAATCTAGCATTCTGTTCCAAAATAAAAATAACTCGGCGTCTTTGGTGCGGTAACCTCTCGCCGTTTTGACTTTTTGGACCTCGTTTACTTGTCCAAGTTGATAATGCCCTCGGCGATAATGGAGTGCAGCGATTTTAGTGAATTTCAAGTAATAACCTGCTAAAATGAGTATTTATTTATTTATTGTCTGCTTCTGAATATGTTGTATTGTATTATATGAACCTCACTTCTTCTTGTTCTAGGATGCTTTAAAGAATATGAGAAGAGTAGATGATCTCATTGTAAACACTCTAAACACCACAATTCCAACTGATTCTTTCCATGCTGACTCAACTAAAGCCTGCAAAGAACTACAGAATCAAATTCAAGAAGGTAATGCATCCAGGGAAAAAGCAATCAAGAACTGTATCACATTATCAGCTGAGCGAGTGAAAAAGTACAGGGAGCAAAAAGAGACTGATAGCAATGATATTCAACTTTCTAAAAATCTTAGGGCTGAACAAACAAAAGTAAGTGATTTCAGGCTTTTTTATAACATCAAACAATTAAGATTATCTTTCAATTGTTTTAGTTAAGAATGTTGCAAGTTGAACTTAGTGTTGAGGAACTAGTCAGACAAAGAACTGCCAAGGTGTTCACTGAAAGATGCAGGAAATTCTTAAGGGAATGAAGGATTTACTTCTGCTCAAAGGTAGTAACAAATTGCAACCATTTCCCCCACACAATTTACAATTAGAAATGGGGACTTTATATTTGTACATGTTTGATAATTGTTTCTATTGGTTGAAAATAAAATAGCAATATATAGATACAACTATGATGAGTAATTTGTTATAATTTAATTATAATAATAGATATTACTAAGTGGCTCTTATTTGGCACCTTCCTTGTGTGATTTGTGCCACTCTAGATTTTCTTTCTGCACTGATTCTCCTTTATCATGGGCCCTCTTCCCCATTATTGACATTACAAGGCAAGCAATCAATGTAATACCCATCATTCCATTTGCCACGCGAATTCGCATTTTGTTCCTAGCCTTTTCCACAACTTCACCACTAAAAAAGTAAAAACAATGTATAGACTTTTATAGCAAGAGATTTTACACTCAATATGAAATATGTAACAATATGTTTATAGATTACATACGCGACCATATCAGGAACATCTCCTAAAGCCTTGTACTTGCCGGTCCAGACCAAAAATCGCTTCTCAAGATTGTTAACTTTGTGTAAGTTGGCTCCCACATTTTGTGCACTACTGCAGAGTTGATTACCTCCAGAGATTTGTCGTACGGAGGCAGCCCGACCAACGGATTGTCGCAATAACTGAGTTAAGCGGAACATAATTCTTTTCCTGCGAAAATAATTTCGATTCTTTGGTTTATATCATATAACACAGACTTTGTTATGTACTAGAGACGACACTAGCTATGTATTGTGTGGGAATCAGTATCCTAACCTACATGGACTCTCTTACATAAGTAGATAATTGCGCGAAAATTGAAGGCAAACTCTAAATTAGATAATTTGTAGGGAACAATGAATTGCAAAAATTATATTTTAAATTACCAATAAAAATCTCAATTCCGTATCGCAAACTTTATAAAAATGTTTAGCTGTCGATATAATTCGTCAAATGCACAATGTGCACTCAATGTTCACGTTATCAAATAAATGCAATCTTATTTTAAACTGGTTTTGAAGTCTATCAATTCAGGAACTTCGAAAAGAAATTATTACAACACATGTGGACAGTGTTTAGACAATGCACTGATAAAATTAGTAAACATGCACCATTAATTAACAGGTTATTCTTGTGTCATTAATATTTCTCAAACAAAACCGGAGGTTGATGTTCCATTATCAGCAATATAAATAAATACGATAGAAGATTTTATGAACTTTAGGCAGACAATTCAATATCAGTTTTGGCGACAATATTGCGGCGCCTTTGCACAAATAAAGATGCCGATCGAACTTCAAAGATGAATACAACTTTGACATTATTATTATTTGGCACTAATAATATTTTTGTACATGTTTGATTACTACTGATTAGTTCGTTGGTCATACCATTTCGGCACAAATATTGAAATGTATGATAACGCGAGTACTTGCATTCTATCACCTCTTATTGTTTAATCAAGTCGCGCGGTTCACTTATAAAATACACCAAATATGCATGCAAATCTTATTAATTATTGTGTTCTTGAAGTGTTGTGTACTCTTTTTGTAATGACTTCTATAAAATCAAAGAAATTTGTTTAAAACGTTTCCATTTAAACAATATCACACTTGCGAAATTATGAATTTCATAATTTTGTGTGCGTTCTGGTGCATTGTATTAAAAGGTAAGTATTTGCATTTAAGTTTATAAATGTGTTCACTTTTTTCACATTTTTGGATTTGAAACTTACGTAATTACAAGCAGTAAAATGTTAACAAGTTGGGTGATACCAGCGGTCATTAATAAACAATTATTGATATTGGAATGACGCCGTCTTAGCGTAAAATCTTAATTTCATACTGACCAAATGTGTATTTCTTTATCGTCCATTTAAAAGACGCGACTTAAAAAAACGGGAGTCAGAAACAAATCGTAATGAATTCGGACAACATAATATGCTTAGTGTTAATAATATGTTCCGGTGAGTTTTAATATAATGGTGTTAAATTCTGTACAATGTTGTCTACACCAGGAAAAAATACCATTTAAAAATAATGTGTTACAAACTCAGATGAACTCATTAAATAACTTTTACTTTTCTTTTTTAAGTTACAACTGCATCACCAATACTAAAATGCGAAAAACACGAGGAGTTAAGGTGTGCTACGGTAGAAAATACTTGTTTAGGATTAGAACAAGTAGGAAATGGCAAAGAGTGCACGCCAGGATGCTACTGTAAAGAAGGCAAACTTAGATATCAAGGAGCCTGCATTGAACCAGATGAGTGCCCTGTACAAGAAGGTAAAATATATATTTATCATTTTCACATAATATAGTAATGCAATCACAATTTTCTTCTAGAAAATTATCACAAATGTACTTGCAACTGCAACGAAGGTATTTCAAATAACGTTGCGGAAAGCAATTCCCATTCAAAAGAACAATCTATAAGTCAAGGCACTGCAGCAATGGCAACAACATCTGAATTACAAATGCACACTGTCAGTCATCACACCGATTCTACTGCAACCATATCTGAAACACATAAGCCTTCTGCAACTCAACATAGCGGCTCATCGGTAATTAATTCTGAATCGGAGACTCATTCGGCCAGCCACCACACTGATTCTGCAGCAGCAACATCTGAGACTTATGAGCAATCAGCCAGTAATCATAGCGGCTCATCGGTAATCAATTCTGAATCTGAGACTCATTCGGCCAGCATCCACACTGATTCTGCAGCAGCAACATCTGAGACACATGAGCAATCTGCCAGTCATCATAGCGGCTCATCGGTAATCAATTCTGAATCTGAGACTCATTCGGCCAGCCACCACACTGATTCTGCAGCAGCAACATCTGAGACACATGAGCAATCAGCCAGTCATCATAGCGGCTCATCGGTAATCAATTCTGAATCTGAGACTCATTCGGCCAGCCACCACACTGATTCTGCAGCAGCAACATCTGAGACACATGAGCAATCTGCCAGTCATCATAGCGGCTCATCGGTAATCAATTCTGAATCTGAGACTCATTCGGCCAGCCACCACACTGATTCTGCAGCAGCAACATCTGAAACACATGAGCAATCTGCCAGTCATCATAGCGGCTCATCGGTAATCAATTCTGAATCTGAGACTCATTCGGCCAGCCACCACACTGATTCTGCAGCAGCAACATCTGAGACACATGAGCAATCAGCCAGTCATCATAGCGACTCATCGGTAATCAATTCTGAGTCTGAGAGCCATTCGGCCAGCCACCACACTGATTCTGCAGCAGCAACATCTGAAACACATGAGCAATCTGCCAATCATCATAGCGGATCATCTGTAATCAATTCTGAATCTGAGACTCATTCGGCCAGCCACCACACTGATTCTGCAGCAGCAACATCTGAAACACATGAGCAATCTGCCAGTCATCATAGCGGCTCATCGGTAATCAATTCTGAATCTGAGACTCATTCGGCCAGCCACCACACTGATTCTGCAGCAGCAACATCTGAGACACATGAGCAATCTGCCAGTCATCATAGCGGCTCATCTGTAATCAATTCTGAATCTGAGACTCATTCGGCCAGCCACCACACTGATTCTGCAGCAGCAACATCTGAGACACATGAGCAATCTGCCAGTCATCATAGCGGCTCATCGGTAATCAATTCTGAATCTGAGACCATTCGGCCAGCCACCACACTGATTCTGCAGCAGCAACATCTGAGACACATGAGCAATCTGCCAGTCATCATAGCGGCTCATCGGTAATCAATTCTGAATCTGAGACTCATTCGGCCAGCCACCACACTGATTCTGCAGCAGCAACATCTGAGACACATGAGCAATCTGCCAGTCATCATAGCGGCTCATCGGTAATCAATTCTGAATCTGAGACTCATTCGGCCAGCCACCACACTGATTCTGCAGCAGCAACATCTGAGACACATGAGCAATCTGCCAGTCATCATAGCGGCTCATCGGTAATCAATTCTGAGTCTGAGAGCCATTCGGCCAGCCACCACACTGATTCTGCAGCAGCAACATCTGAGACACATGAGCAATCTGCCAGTCATCATAGCGGCTCATCGGTAATCAATTCTGAATCTGAGAGCCATTCGGCCAGCCACCACACTGATTCTGCAGCAGCAACATCTGAGACACATGAGCAATCTGCCAGTCATCATAGCGGCTCATCGGTAATCAATTCTGAATCTGAGACTCATTCGGCCAGCCACCACACTGATTCTGCAGCAGCAACATCTGAGACACATGAGCAATCTGCCAGTCATCATAGCGGCTCATCGGTAATCAATTCTGAGTCTGAGAGCCATTCGGCCAGCCACCACACTGATTCTGCAGCAGCAACATCTGAGACACATGAGCAATCTGCCAGTCATCATAGCGGCTCATCGGTAATCAATTCTGAATCTGAGACCATTCGGCCAGCCACCACACTGATTCTGCAGCAGCAACATCTGAGACACATGAGCAATCTGCCAGTCATCATAGCGGCTCATCGGTAATCAATTCTGAGTCTGAGAGCCATTCGGCCAGCCACCACGCTGATTCTGCAGCAGCAACATCTGAGACACATGAGCAATCTGCCAGTCATCATAGCGGCTCATCGGTATTCAATTCTGAATCTGAGACTCATTCGGCCAGCCACCACACTGATTCTGCAGCAGCAACATCTGAGACACATGAGCAATCTGCCAGCCATCATAGCGGCTCATCGGTAATCAATTCTGAGTCTGAGAATCATTCGGCCAGCCACCACACTGATTCTGCAGCAGCAACATCTGAGACACATGAGCAATCTGCCAGTCATCATAGCGGCTCATCGGTAATCAATTCTGAATCTGAGACTCATTCGGCCAGCCACCACATTGATTCTGCAGCAGCAACATCTGAGACCCATGAGCAATCTGCCAGTCATCATAGCGGCTCATCGGTAATCAATTCTGAATCTGAGACTCATTCGGCCAGCCACCACACTGATTCTGCAGCAGCAACATCTGAGACACATGAGCAATCTGCCAGTCATCATAGCGGCTCATCGGTAATCAATTCTGAATCTGAGACTCATTCGGCCAGCCACCACATTGATTCTGCAGCAGCAACATCTGAGACACATGAGCAATCTGCCAGTCATCATAGCGGCTCATCGGTAATCAATTCTGAATCTGAGACTCATTCGGCCAGCCACCACACTGATTCTGCAGCAGCAACATCTGAGACACATGAGCAATCTGCCAGTCATCATAGCGGCTCATCGGTAATCAATTCTGAGTCTGAGAGCCATTCGGCCAGCCACCACACTGATTCTGCAGCAGCAACATCTGAGACACATGAGCAATCTGCCAGTCATCATAGCGGCTCATCGGTAATCAATTCTGAGTCTGAGAGCCATTCGGCCAGCCACCACACTGATTCTGCAGCAGCAACATCTGAGACACATGAGCAATCTGCCAGTCATCATAGCGGCTCATCGGTAATCAATTCTGAATCTGAGAGCCATTCGGCCAGCCACCACACTGATTCTGCAGCAGCAACATCTGAGACACATGAGCAATCTGCCAGTCATCATAGCGGCTCATCGGTAATCAATTCTGAGTCTGAGAGCCATTCGGCCAGCCACCACACTGATTCTGCAGCAGCAACATCTGAGACACATGAGCAATCTGCCAGTCATCATAGCGGCTCATCGGTAATCAATTCTGAGTCTGAGAGCCATTCGGCCAGCCACCACACTGATTCTGCAGCAGCAACATCTGAGACACATGAGCAATCTGCCAGTCATCATAGCGGCTCATCGGTAATCAATTCTGAGTCTGAGAGCCATTCGGCCAGCCACCACACTGATTCTGCAGCAGCAACATCTGAGACACATGAGCAATCTGCCAGTCATCATAGCGGCTCATCGGTAATCAATTCTGAATCTGAGAGCCATTCGGCCAGCCACCACACTGATTCTGCAGCAGCAACATCTGAGACACATGAGCAATCTGCCAGTCATCATAGCGGCTCATCGGTAATCAATTCTGAGTCTGAGA